TAGCCAGAAAAAGATCCCAAGTTCATTACTGTACAAAATTATGAGACGATAGTTTTGATTTTCAAAGTAGCTTAAAGGAGTGTCTAAATGACCTTGTCCCAGTTGATCATTGAATTCCTTTCTCCCCGAGGCTCATCTCTTGTCAATACATTATCAGTGCATAGACTGTGGTAGAAACATGCTGTACAGCACCAGATTGACAACACGATTAATCATTTGTACAATGCTGCTCACATTATAAGCAAGATGGTCAAGCGATATGTCACCTTTCCAACTTCAGCTAAACAAGAAGTTCTACTTTCAACGTTGGGTGATTTGTTTAAGGTTAGTACCTAGAAATACTGTGCAGCGATTTTATTATGCTAAATGTTTCTCATTTGCACAACACAGGCCTTTTCTGCAAGAATAAATTTCTCAGGCAGGTGGCTCTGGAACTCTCAGACTACACACAGTGCACAATAGTAAAGATCACAGCCCCCAGCGTGCTTCAACACATTTGTTTTCCTCCCAGCTGTATGTCTCGCGTTTCCTGAGCATTAAGCTGTAAAAACCATTTACAGAAAACTGTAAATATTCCCTCTATAGTGAAGTTGTAAACATCTAAGAAAAAAACCAAAAACCAAACCCCAAGCAAATGATAATGAGCAACGTTACCGGAGACCCGAGCTACAAGCACACTATAAAACTCACTCTGACTAAGATGAAAGTAACACATGGAAAGGACGGCTCTTGTAGCCGTAACGCACTTCAAGCTTAACGTGATTTAAGAAGTTTAACGAGTCTAGCCATTCCCTTTGCTGTGTTATTAGGAGAACCATGTACAGTATACAAGCTGTTGATGTACACAATGGTATGACGATATCTCCATTTAGCTCTCTACATTGAGTCTTAGGGTTCCAGATTCAGGTGTTGTTTTTGTGGGGTTTTTTTGTTTGTTTGGGGTTTTGTGTGTGGGTTGTTTTGTTTTGTTTTGTTTTTCTCCGCTTGTCCTAAGTTCATTGACATCTATTTTGCAACGGCTTCTTTGCCTTCCCATGCTCGGCTCTGCCACGGCCGTAGCTGACTTCGAGCACTGTTTCAGCGCGGTTCAGCGAACAGTGCCAGGAGGATCTCCAAGCGCCGTGGGCTGTAGCTGCAGGTCTGGAAGCCCGTACCGCCAGGGCAGTGGCACCTCTCCCTTCCCAGGTCACGGAGAGCCACAGAGAACAGAAGAGGCTCTCTGATAACTGCCCCCGCTATAAGACAAGCTGTCTGCTGCGGTGTGCTCCCCCATTTAACTGCTTGTTAACGCGGGAGCAGACCCCTCCGGTCCCGCAGAAGTGAACCTGCCGCCACAGGAATTCCTTACACCACCACAGCAGCCCCAAACCCCCCCAGTATCCACATGGTTCATCTGTTCCCTCAAAGACAGGAAGCGAAAGCTCCGCAGGCGGTACCAGAGAGGAGCGGGCACATCTCCACGCCGCCAGAGCCAGCCCGGGGGGCAGCTCCCACAGCCCCACGGAGAGCGGCCGCGCCCCTCGAGTGACAAGTGCCCGGCACGGCCGTGCCCGCTCAGCGTCCCCCCTCCCTCGGGGCCATCCTCCGTCCCCACCCGGCCACTTCGCGGCTGTGCCG